GGGAGCACCGATAAATTTGATATTTTAATTTCTCGAAACCCTTAGCGATTTAGAGCCCAATTTGTTCAAAAAAATAAATAATCCAATCCTGTTGAAATATTACCCAAACTTTGTATTACCTTTAAACTGGTCAAGGGAATGAGTATTATGAATATGCGCTGGTAATTTGTTTCAAAGGATAGGGGCAATTACTGAAAAAGCGCGATCGCCATATCTTGTAGCAGTACGAGGTCCAATGGTTAACTGCAATGTTGATGATGATCGAAGAGGTCTTAAAGAACTAGAACAACATAAGGAAATCAACTCTGAAAGTATTTAGGGGCTTGACCATAGAGAATGTTGTATGTCAAAAGAAGAACTTTAAATGTTATACGATGGTGTACGGGAAGCCAATGAAGAGAACGCAATATTTTCAGATTTTCTCGAAAGAGTAACAAGCCTTGCAGCAGCAGTATTCTGAATTCTTTGAAGTGGAAGTAGGTATGAATGAGGAAGGCATGCAAAGGAAGGAGGAATACAAAGGCATGGGTTAATTTTTCAGTTGTGGGTCGGTCAAGTAGTTTCCTAATTTTCCCAATTTTAAAGATTCCAAATGATGCAGATTTACATATGATTTTAATATGCTGCTGAAATGTAAGTTTCCATCCATATGTCTGTCTTCTAACAACTATCCATCTATCTGTCCATCAATCTAGCTATCGATATATGTTGGTATCTTCTCCCTGCTGTGAGGTTGATTGCGAAATTGTACACACCTCTCCCTTCTTTGCACCCCCCCCCGCACTCTTGCTTTGTCTTTTCACTCCACGTCTCTCCTCCCCGTTGGTTCTTGGCGTCCCTCTCGATATTCTACCTTCTGTCTTTCCTTCCAACAAATCTTTGATGATGATTGTTTTAAGCTAAGAAACATGTGTATGCTTGTAAATAAACAACCAGGGGACCGACGGCTTTAAATCCTTTGCGAGGGAGTTGGTAATGAGGATTAATGCGTTACCAAAGGGCACGAGCGCGTTGATCTGCGCTTCCTTCTCCAAGAGAAGGAAACTCTCAAGGAAGTTTTACTTTCAAAAGATGTCAGCTCTCTTTAGAAACAAATAATCAGTTTTTCCTGATGTGTCTATTTTAAACGCTCTTGAATCTATTGTCAGTCACAATGTACTCGACAGTTTCGGTAGACATAAGTATTTGAATTGCTCTCGTGCTTATAATATAAAAGCACGAACCTCTTAAGTGAAATGAAGAATATGAGCACAATGATATTTTGCGCTTTACAATAATAATCGGTTTTAATTACAAGTGTTATCAAGACCTGTACCATCAATTTTGGTTGAGAAAGACTATGCAAAAGGATAATGCAGTGACATAACTTTTAAGCTTTTAAATCCTCTTCTCTGTAGTTGGTTTTATTACGATACAAAACTAATCATTTTCATTACGGGCAGAATAAGTCTGTTTAAGGAAAAATAAATACTCCGGACGATCTTGGAATTTTCTTTAACAAAATGAATGAATAAAATAACATAAAGGCGACTCTGAACATCCTTTGTTTACCGATCGACCTGTTTACAAATTGTTTGCATACTTTGAGAAAAAAGGTTTCTCTTGACAATTAAAAAAAGCTTGTCATAGATATAATATTTACAAATTCGTTTTTATGATTTGAACAGAAAAATATTTACTTCATATTCATGAAAAATATCTTGATACCAAAAAACCTGGCTTAAGATAATGAGGAAACTATATTCTTAGAAAATCGAGGTAATTAGATGTTTATCATTAATACTAGCAAATGTTTTGGTTAATAGTGAGAAAATGAAGTCACAAACACTGAACTAAGTTTTTAATTAATCTATTTAATGATTTCGTAATTTTTCATATTATGTAATTATGCTATTCAATTCATCTCGAACGTTATATCCTAATTATTTGTCTCATATTCTGAAACACTTTTCTTTATCTGTTCGATTTGTTTGCTTTATTTAAGATGATTTATTATTATAATAATTATTTTTACATTTAAAAAATATGTTTGATTTGTGTGTTTAGCTTGAAATCAAGGAATTTTTGGACTGGCCTTGCCCTTAAACTTCTGTAGGGCACCTTTGACCGGATGCTACATCAGACAGTTTACAACTCATTGGTGGAAACAGGTTAACGAAGTTAGAGTCGGTCTCCATGTAAGAACCATGACGTCATACTTGGAGGAAGTCAGCAAGACAAGGATATATCTGGCCACATTATGGTGTACATGTATGTCTGTATCTGTGTATATCATTTGTTCCTGTGTTGTGACCTTTTGCGGGGAGGATCAGTGAGAAAGTGCCAAGTTTATTCACGAAGGTGTTGATTGATCAGAACTATTTCAAAAATAGAATACTTCCGGATATGTGCATTTCTCTGTGGATGCCATTCCAAGTTCCAAGGTCCAGACAGTAACGCATGGCTGACTTTGTTAAAGTACCTGGATCGACAACGTTCACATATACGATAGCATACCAATGATTTAACCCTATCTTAACTGGGGGGGGGGGGGGGTCAATTTGACACCCTGTAGTAATTTAGCGACTACTCCGGAACCGCGCAGATATAAAGTTATCCTTTCATGACTTTTTTCTTTCGAGTCTTACGCATCTTTTAAAACAATTTTTTTTTTGAAAATCGGACGTAAAGTTACAAAGTCACGTGACCTTTTGTCTTTGCATGTCAGCCCGAAAATCGCTCATTTTTGTGATTTGTGTACAAAACATATGGAAATATCATTTTTTCCTAAAAAGAGATAAAACATTGGTTATTTGGTCTTGTTTAAAGTTTAGGTGTTTGTTTTGGGGTCAAAAAAGTTGAATCGTAGTTATTAATGAAACGAGACAACAAAAACAATAAAATTTAAAGTTAAAAAAACACAATGAAATACATAAGAATTATCAAAACAAGAGATAACATAAGGAATAACCTGGCTCTTCCAATTTTGTTGTCGTATTATTATTCCAAGTGGTGTAACGAATATATGTATTGAAAAACAATGCTTAAATATGAATAATATATAATTTATGGGTAAAAATATGAATTTTATGACCTTATTTGCTTAAATTACCATAAATATGCAAATGAGTGATTTTTCCAAAAATTGAAATTACCATAGTTTTCTATACACTTCACTTGATATGCATACACGTTTTCGCGGCGATCGGCTGTGAAACGGTCGAGATCTTAGGGGGTGTGGGGGGGGGGGGGTCCCCCACCCCGGTAAAAAACCTGGTCTGAAATAGCCCGGTTAGAATAGGGTTAAATGAGATCTTAACCTTTTTTTATTGGTGCCTGTTTCCTACACTCACAACTTGCGGTTCTGGACTAGGATTCATGAAAGCAGTGAAAGAAGTGAAAAAAACTCTTTTGACTCATTGAGAGCTGGATTATATTTATCGTGCGTGGTCAACCCTTTAATCGAAGAAATTGTAATTCTTGTTTAAAGAAGGTCTTGGATTGACGGGGTGAAATAAAATAAACACCTATCTATTGATGCGATGCCCTGCCCGAACAATCACGTAGACAGACTCCAAACTAAGATTCATAAAATGACTCAAGAAGGGAAACTCTGTAGACTGAATGAAGCTGGATTAAATGTATCATGTTTGATCAGCCCTTGATAAAGGATGAATTTCGATTCGTTTTTAAGGTCGTAAATTTACAGGGGGGAAATATTTTACGTTGCGAGGTATGTCGCTTCGTATCATTTGTGGAGGATTCATTGAATATCTGAAAGAAAGTAATTTTTGTAAATGCTAATGTCAGTGGATTATCAGGTCCTACCAGCCGGATCTATCATGAGAGCAACCTTAGCATTTAAAATTGAGGATTTATATCTACTGGGTTATTACGATATATGCAACTATTCATTACAATATTAGTGCAATATATATATATATATATATATATATATATATATATCGCTTACAACCACACATACTCAGTTATATAGTTAGATTGATAAATATCTGGAAGAAAGAAATGTGTCTGTAATCAGTGACGTTTGATCAACTTTATTTACTCATCTCTACGCAGTGTTGAGTGTTGATAATAAGATTAGGTTTCATCTTCTTTTATTTCTTTAAAGTGTCATATTTTCACCTGCTTCCTCTTGTGTGATCATACGTCAATAGATTGTAAGGACAGCACTTCTTTTCCTCATTATACTTTGGAGCTATGCGATACTTTCGATGTGTGAATTGTGATATCCTAACTAAACAATCAAACAGGAAGACAGTTTTCTTATTGTGAGAGAGAATTTGACAACGTCAAGACCTTGGAAATGTTTTAATTTCTCGGGATCTGATATCTGAGATGGAATACGTGATCTTGTTGACGCGTGACATACTAGTTTAGCTCCACGAACTGGATTGTTTTCAAAAGCAAATATTGTGATAATTATGCACCCCACTCTTCTGTGGCCTTCTTGATGGAGAAACGTGTATTATAAGGAAGTACGGTAGACGTTCGCTTAATTAGATACACGGTAACTTCTTATTGGTCGCTTCCTCAAGCAGGGAAAAAATTAATACTTATTTTTGGGGGGCTACTTTTCAAGCTTGCCTGCATGAAAATAACATTCTAAAATTTGTTTTGCGTTGAACTCTATGCAAATTTACAGCGGCTCTTTTCTGATTTTCGGGGGCTCTTTTAGGCATTTCGGGGCTAATTCGCCCTGAGCCCCCGTGTATTATGAGAAAATGAAATGACTATATAAGACTTTTTCCTTTAACGGCTTTATAACCACAAATCATGATAAATGGATTTTATGGTCGTCAAATTTAATTTTCGAATTGACAACACGGCTTTTGATTTGCCGGATTTCTACGCCATTAACTCCTTACCAACACAAATTTAACTGAGATTGATGTTTTTTTAATTCAATTTTCAAATTGACAACACGATTTTTGATTTACTGAATTTCTACGCCATGTTAACTTCTTACCCACAAATTCAACTGAGATTGGTGATTGTCGAATTCGATCTGCAAATTGACAACTCGGCTTTTGATTTGCCGGATTTCTACGCCAATAACTTCTTACCCACAAATGTAACTGTTATGCAAATTGGCAACCCGGTCTGGGTCTTGATTTGACGGATTGCTATGCCTGATGAACTTCAGATACAGCTGTTTTCATCGCTGACTCAAACATATATATCTCAACGTGGCTATACGTATCCGTCTGAATCCGCCTTGCTTCACCCGGCAACCCGGCAACCTGCCAAACTCCTGCGGCAAGAAACGGGGGTGGTTGTCAAGGAAAAAAATGTTAGACTACGAGGCCTTTGGATATAGTATTCCTCACGACAAGTCAGTGTTGTTATGTTCTTCTCGTCGTGTTCTTCACATCGGAGGAAGTTTACCAGTGTGCTGACTTATAATTGGGATAGGTTTCAGGAGTATGATGACATTTTGCGAGTCGAACATATCGAGAAATCGTGCAGCTCAGCAACAATTCATCGGTATGAACATAACTCGTTCCTGACAATTCATTGCTTAGTGGATAGAGTTGATAGATAAACAACCAGTTATTGTATTTGATTGATTCAAAAACATCGATGGGAACTTAAAATACTTTAATATTCAAATACCCTGATAGGAATCAATGTACATTGGATGTGTGTACACGGGGTATTAGTTTCATACTTCTACGCAATATGAGCCCTTGAAAATGAATGATGTTATTTTAGTACAGTGTCGACACGCCATATTTTGAGTATAATTATTTAGCTGGTATCTACAAGAAACTTGATATATTTCTATAGGTCAAGACTGACTGAGTATCAATTACCAGTCTTTATTGTTCCGACACCATGGGTGATATCAATAAGTGACTGGTATCCGGCCTGGGGAGTATACCGGCACGTAAGCCACATTTGGAATGATCGAGTGTTAACTGTGACAGAGAACTGACTATTTCCTTAAAAAAATCATGGACCCTACCAGAAACTCTTCAAACTTATAGATCTCACTTGTTGCTATTGCCGTCATGAATCACTAAAATCGGCAGTTTGCCAATTTGTGTCCATTCGTGAAGCGAGGCCGACGGTGGGAGAAGATATCGGTGCGGTGAAGGAGCTTCGTGAAGGGAATAGGACAGGAAACCGCACCTGAAGATATGTATATGTATATATACCCCTGTGTATTTGGCTCTATACACCGAGATTTGTGAACTTCATCACCGTCCAATTTAGAAGTCAATAACCGTACCAAATATATGCTACATTTCGGAAATTAATGCGGGAAATAAGCAAAGTCAATGGAAAGGGAGAACTTCAATACAGAGAAAAATATTTCAAATACCTCGGAGAAGTCTATGGAGAAGAAATATGTTTCAAGATTTTTTGACAGGTGTTACAGCAGAGGGCTCTAGCCAGTATTCATCATATTGGTTTGGAGTAAGGCTTTACTGTTTTGAAGCTTTGTAGTTATTTACATTTGAAGGATACGCGCCGTTTAAACACTTAGACGACGACGACGCCGACAACAACAACAACAACAACAGTGCTTGCTCCATTCTCATGCACGTGATATCAGTTTCAACGAAACTCAGTTTTTCAAGTGTACAAGCAGCGGATTTGTAAAACCCTTCGACCCCATGAATCATGCACCGGCAATTTGCTCCTAATCAAGGGCGAAACAATAAAAGTGACTCAGACTTTAGATGATCAAGATGGTGTATGTACGTTATGGCTTCGTTGTTTCGCAATCTGTCCACGCAATGTTGCAAAATATAACCGAAGCCTTCAAGTAAGCCACGCAATATAAGCAATGCTGTAATTGTCGCAGTGACCTATACGTCTTCGTGTTCCTTTAAGAAACATAGGATTTCATCAGCAATTTACGCAATCACCTCCAAATCTATAACTTTCATCTATAGATAGAGAATAGTTGCAAGGAATAATCGCTGCATCTTGTTTAACGTTTCTTGATTGGCAAAGCTTGATTCGCGACGACCGTCTATATAGCGTTGGAAATACGTTGATTGCTACCTAGTGGCCGGTGACCGTGCTGCGACAACAAGTGAATTAACGATATACTTATGCGATCTGTTCGAGCTATTATATCTATTTTTCAAGGAGGTTAACGGACAGAATTACTTTACATCGTGTCTTTCTATATGTGGTTCCTGATGCTAGATTCCGGAATTGATAAAACATACATTTGATCTATGTTTGGGCTGATATTCCGGCTGCATGTACTAATATAGCTGATGTGATGATGATGTTTGTAATTGTTGAGATATGATTTCAACAACTTTCAGGGAAATTGCTTTGTGCATGGAAAATCCTTGGATGTTCACATGGCAGAGGTCGATTGGTTGAACGTTAAGAGAGGAACGCGTTTGGTGTTCAAAACATTTTAGCCGTATTGTCTACAGTCTCTACTGTATATATATTTAATTCATTCAGAACTGTGAAAGTATAAATCTGAACCTTTGATCGTTCTAGATTTGACCTAGATAAACTGTAGAAACATCTGCGTGAACTTCCCCGACGCCACAAAATTGTAGGCTAATGTCAGGTCACTGTTTAGGGTCAACGCAAAGGTAGAACAGGAAGTATTCTGCTGACATGGCTACTACAGCAACTGAGTACGTTATGGAACCGGATGGTCCTGTTCCACACAATGCCTCGGAATACATTACCGGCATGGTTACTCCACTTTATATCACCGTTATCTTCATCATCCATTGGCCACTATGGATACTTAACGTCGGCGGCAACTCGCTAGTCGTCCTCGCCGTCTACCGGGAGAGGAACCTTCGCCGACCGACGTACGCCCTGATCGCCGCTCTCGCCACTGCAGACTTAGTTTTCGCGCTTTTTGCGTATCCGCCGTCGATATACGCCGTGATCGTGGAAAACCGGTACACTTGTGCGATTGGAACTCGAAAGTATTTCTTCGTGTTGACGTATGTCTGTGCATCGGCCTCGTTCTTTCACATCATGGCGATCACTTTCGAGCGGTTTATCGGTGTTTCGAAACCATTGCGATACCATGAGATCGTCACTATGCGACGAATTGTCTGCCTGGAAACATTCATATGGACGACGAGCCTTTTGTTAGGGGCTACCGCCGTCTTTAAAAAGAGTGGCAACGATCCCATGCGGCCTGTCTGCAAACGAGCGACTACTTCGTCCCTCTTTTCACTCGTTTCCTTCCTCCTCTTGTCAGTGGGTTTTCTCGTCATCACTCTCGTTTACCTACACATCTATCGGATCGCGAAGAGACACTGGCGAGACATGCAGGCCGAACGAAAAAAGGCACTCGCCCTTGGCAATAAAAAAACCCAAAACTTCGACAGCCAGACCAGTAGTGACGATACACAATTCAAAGCCACCAAAACCATTGGCATCATTATTGTTTTCTTTGTCATATGTTGGTTGCCAACAGCAACGAGATACTTCTTTGAAGGAATCGGGGCATCCGTCTCCATCAGCTGGACAACATGGATACTAGTCAAGCGTAGTTCGGAGACATTTTGGCTTTTAAATGGAGTCATTAACCCGCTCGTGTATGCTAGGAGGAACTCGCAATTTAGACATGCGTTCAAAGACATCATCAAATGCTCAGTAAAGAGATATACGTGTAAGACAGAGTCGGAATCTAGGAGATACTCTCTGACTACCTGGAAGGGTAGACCCTCATTGACGTCGAATACAACACTACCATGACATTTAAGGCCTCGTTAAGATATGACGCGGCAAAACCGCGGAGTTAAAAAAAACGATGACTTGAAGTGTAATACGTGTCACATTTCTGTATTTTGTAACACGTAAATACGAGCAGGATTTTTCTTGCGCGCCGTTGCCATTCGTCTTTACGTCGTAAAAAACACGGCTTTTTTAAGGGGGGGCAGCGGTTAACCGCGTCATTTTTTAACGAGCCTTGAGGGAGACTGTTTCCCATCTTATTGATCAATGTTCAACACGATGGCAAAGACTCACGAGAAACCAACTCAAGGACCAGGGCCCCGTTTCATAAAACTTTTTATCAATAACAAATGCTAAATAGCTATGACAAATTTGCTCTCAGCCAATCAGATGCCATGATTTCAGTAGCTTATAACAGTAGCTTGTAACTTGCTATTGATAGCAAGTTTTATGAAACAGGGTCCAGTTCGGAATCCCATAGGAATTATGTTCGAATTACAGTTTAAGTCTTTGTTAAAAACGTTTCTGTTCTCAACATATTAGTTTGTTTAATTAATTATGTCTTACATTGTACTACCCTTATATAACTTGATTTACTGTAATATGCTTTGTATTGTATTATTGTATTATTGCAAATTATGTCCTGAAGTATGTTAAACTGTAACTTATGTGTATTTTACTTTCTTTCTTGAATTCTTGCCCACAATTATACAACTTCCACACAACTGCGCCAGGAGTGTCATTTTTGACAGACATGGCGCATTATAAATGTTCACTATTATTATTATTATTATTATTATTATTACGCACTGTATAATTGCCATGATTGCATATTTCATTGACTGATTGACAAGACTACCGAAATTGCAAAAGGTTGAGTTTCCGAAAGTTCTTGCTATGGTGCTGCTTAGAATATTATGACAAAATAATGAGATGTGTGACAAAGAGTTTCTCCATAATTAGGGTCTTTATGTTTTCTACGCTTTCGTAGCCTTAATGCATAAAAGGGTTGCGTTTGAACACAATTCAAAATGTTAACGTAACTTTATTTTCAATCAATCAAACAGGGTCGCAAATTTTGGAAAGGTGTGTATAGTTGCTTTTGAACGCTACTTTTTATGCATAGGGTCGAAGTAGTTTTTGTAATGGAAATCTTTAAGAAATTATTTTGGATGGACACATATTTTTATTTGTTGTTGTTGAAATGCTTGAAAAACAAAGTTTCTTGAAAATACCAGGAAACTTATCACTTTTGAGCTTATGTACATGATAAAAAAGAAAGTTTGATCCCAACGTTTTCCGTGGTCTTCTGTCATTAGTTATTTGTATAGCACACGGAAGACCAAGGGTAGAACGTTTTCAAAAATATAATTCCTGAGATTTCAATCGGCATTCTTTTGGTGCCAGGTGATAATAATAATGTCAGAGGTAAAAATGTCAAAGGTTTTTGAAAAAAATAGATTAATAATAATAATAATAATAATCCTTTTTTTTTATATAGCGCTCAATACACCGATCCAACGATGTACCTAAGCGCTTTACAGATATATTATTACCCCGGTCATCGGATTCAGGCTCACCCGCACACAATGTGTGCACATTTTCCACTCCCTGGGGAGCATTCCAGCCAGTCGCCATTTTACAGGCGCACACTTGCTCGTTCAACCACGTGAATGTTCGCATCCTACCGGGTACCCATTTAACACCTGGGTGGAGAGTAGCAAGGTGCAGGTAAATATCTTGCCAAAGGATATTAGTGCCGTGTCGGGATTCGAACCCTCGACCTTCGCATCTACAGTCAAGCGCCTTAAACCACTCGACCACGACACTCCCAACCAAGTATTAAACAAGTATATTTCCTATACCCCTACCTGTTACGCTCTCGTGGTCTGAATTAGGCCACCCTGGGAACTATCATGGATTATGTGTATTCTTAACCTATGAAGGTATCGACATACACAGACAATTGTAAGACAATTGTACTGCTGAATCTGGAAAAAATGTTTGAAATTTACATAGTTTGGTCCACAGGGGGCCACGTTTACCATTTGAACTACTTTTGACCCCCTACCCCTAAGGATGAATCCTGCCACGTCTGTGTAAAATCTGACCATGTGTTTTCAAGAAGAAGATGCAAATGTAAAAGGTTTACGGACGACGGACAGGGACGGACGGCAATGAGCCTCCGGCTCAGGTGAGTTGAAAAAACAATGATTATGGTAGTACTTGGGTAAAAAATATGGCAAGAAGGAGGAACAGAAGTGAATTCTATTTTTTAATTTTTTTTTAGGCTTGAAAGATATACTGTGATTCATGGCCTTAGCGTACTTGAAGCCAGGGAGAGAGTCCCCCCCCCCCCCCCGCCTCCCCTCGGCAATAATCGGGCAAAAAAGTCACAATTTTGGGCCGAAACGTTAATGAAAAATAACGAAAAAATAAAATAAAGCAGCGCCTAATACTGACAATCCTTCGTTGTTATTTTTCAAAGAGTCTAATATACAACTATTACCAATATTCAACCTGTAACATGATTGTGTTTTAATATATCTACCTCTGACATTTTTATCTCTGACATTTTAACCTCTGACATTTTAACCTCTGGTAGTTTTGCACAGAGCCATTGCTTTTCTCATTCTCCGTACTGTCCTTTATCATGCCATCAGGCTTTTGAGGTATTAATTTATAATTTCAATTTTGATACTACATGTATATTGTACTGTATTGGGAAATCGATTAGGAATATGTACCATGTCATCGTACTTCATTTTCTTTTGGTCATTCATGTAATTAAAAATGTAATGTACAACGCCGGTGAAATAGCCTTAGGTTGAAATTTTGAAAGTCTTTGTGATCACCTTCGTCGCAACTTTATTTCTTTATCATCGAATCAGTACCAGAGGTAGAATTTCAAGTACTCTATTATTCACTATAAGTATGAATGAGTCATTGACTTGTAAACTGATCTAACATATGAAGTGTAAATTTATTTAAACACCAGAAACAAAAAAGACAGAGTAGATCAGGTGAAAGTGCTTGGAAATCAATTCGACGGAAATTGGCTTATACACAAAATATAGGATTACATATTGGTATGTAGATGACAGTTTAAAGTTCATGCAGCGGTCATGCAGGTATTTCTTTTCACCAAAAAAATTGTCGCAACCTAAATTATCATGATTTTTTTGCTGTTGAAATTCTACCGTGTAGTACGTCTATATAGGGAGATGTGAGTTGGTCTGGCGGCACGTTCACTTGGTCCACTGTCTGTCTTCGCCTACAAACTGGCTCAGGCGACACCGTCTCGAAACTGAGACACGTCTTTCAGATGGTGACGTTAGAGGTCGGTCCCCACACGTAAATAATTATCTGATTGATACACGTCTGTTAAAACCCAATTACACACACGTCTATCAAAAAAGTGACTATTCGCAGTGAAGCACGACGTTTTATGTGTACCATTTCGAAAACTATGTAAATATCTAAGTATCTTTATTCGAATTGAAAATCAATTGCAATGCATGACATACTTTTTGAGAAGAAAAAAACAGAAGAAAGATGTTCTTGATTTCTTTTGCTAGAATTAAAATGATCACAGATCAGAAATTCTAACGTATGTTACATCAAAGGGAATAACTTGCATAGTGCACATTTAAAACAGTCGTCTGAGAGTTTATAATTATTGATTCGTCGATACATCTTCTCACTTTCACGGAAAATCAACCCATCCTGTTTTCACAGGGATCTGAAATAAAAATGGAATTTAAGCGGAACCAAAGCATGTTTCCGAGTCGAAGTATACTGAGATCTGCCGCTAGCTGGCGCCAGACCTCAAGGAACAGAGTTGATGTTAATTTAAGGAAGTGCGCTTCTCTCTCCATATTATGAACTATACTGATATGATTTAGTGAAATATCGATGATTGTAGGTTCGAGGTCGTGTAACGACCTAACGCTACTTTACCTGATTAATTAATCTCAGTTCTAACTTGTTTGTATAATGGACGAAACTGATGAATCCTGTTATCTTCGGCTACATTTTTTAATTTGGCCCCGAAAATAGACCTATGGACATTAAACACAAATATTTATATTTAACAAATAATTTCGTTCATTTCTCAACCACTCATTGAATTATATGTATTAGTTCCTAATTATTATCAAATGTCGTCTTTATTATCACGTATCTTTATGATAATAGAGCATAATTTATGTGCTAAGTAGTACTTTTCACTTTTAGGCCCACTGACAAGTTCTGTAATAATAATTTAAAAAAAGGTTACTTGAAATTATGCACAACCTAATTTAAATGTGTGGCCCACATTTACTCAAGTAAATAAAGACGAAAAAAATTCAAATCAATCTAGAAAGTATGTTTCTTTTTTTTCTGTGACTGAAGTACTATACATGAACATTAAACGTTGTTTTATGTATTCAATTTTAGAGTCCCCCCCCCCCCCCCAAGGAAGTATATGCGAATTGTATGTGTGCTCAAGTTCATAGAATGTACACCTCGAAATGTATTGAATCGGTTAACATTGCTTTTTGATTGAGTGTTTCAGTCGATCTTCCTTATTGCAAACGTTTGGACTTTGATTCCTTTCAAGTTCTAATGCCAAAATAGAGCCTCTCGAAGAGAAGGTTTGTTCTGGTATTAAGTCCAATAATTGATTGCGAGCATTCTTCTGATAACATTCTTTATCCAATATTGAGAGGAGGGCATGTGTGCGCATATTGGTCAGGCGAATGGGAGCAGCCTGAATACTTGTACGAAGGTACTTACACTTCTAATGGTTATCAGTCTATATCCAACACCAGGCGCGTACGCAGGGGGGTGTTTGGGGGTTAAACCCCCCCTTTCGTATTTTTATGTGTATAAACCCCCCTAAAACCCCCCCCCCCCTTTTTTTTTTTTTTTTTTTTTTTTTTGGACTCCAAAAAAAGAAGAAAAAAGTGTCCGCTTACCCTCCCCCCACTGAGCGACTTTTCGGCCGGCGCGATTTTCAAATTTTCGGGAGCAAATTTTTCGGGCCCGACTTTAAACCCCCCCCCCCCCCTTGAAAAAATCCTGCGTACGCCACTGTCCAACACCCAATTAATTGCAGATAAGAAGCGATGACGAAACATAACGATAATGAAACATCTAAATATATCATCATAAATGTATGGGCATGGTATTGATCATAATGATGATGGAAGTTGAGAATGGGGAAAATGAAAACTTATTTTAGAAAATTAAAGATGATAAAGAATATACATTATGCAAAGGTATCAAAGAACATTCGATGTGGTGATAATGATTACAACAACGACGCCTGTGGTGATGAAGATGGTAAGGATGACGAAGATGACTATTAAAAATTGAGTATGAT